TATCCTGGAGGCTGAAATCGGGAGGGTATCACTAAGGCTAGAAGTCCCTACCTGCTAGAAATGAGTTTCAATACAAGTAGGGATCACCTTAAGCCGTGATTAATTTGACAGCAAAAATGCCACGTTTTGATTTAATTTGTTTTGATTTGTTATTGTCACATGTGCTGAGATACAGTGAAAAGTATTGTTTTGCCCGCTATCCAGACAAATCATACCTTACATAAGTACATCAGGGCAATAGAACAGAACGCAGAATATCATGTTACAGCTACAGACAAGTTACAGAGAAAGATCAACTCTGATATACTAGAGGTCCTTTCGTAAGTCTGATAACAACGGCACAGGAGCTTTTCTTGAATCTGTTGGTACTTGTTTTCAAACTTTTGTATCTTCTGCCCGATGGAAGAGAGTATAGCTGGAGTGTGAGGGACCTTTGATTATATTGCCTGCTTTCCTGAGGCAGCGGGAATGTAGACAGAGTCAATGGAAGGAAGATTGGTTTTCATGATGGACTGGGCTGTGTTCACAACTCTCTGTACATTCTTGTGGTCCTGAGAAGAGCAGTTGCCATACAAAGCTGTGATGCATCTGGATAAGATGCTTTCTACGGTGCATCTATAAAAATTGGTCAGAGTGAGCTTAAAGGAATAGTGTGGTACAGTGTGGAGCCATATTCCATAAAGGCACCTGTCACCATTAGAGAGAAAAAAGTTGGTTATGTCTAACTTGAAGGTAACCACTTCACAAGCATGGGGTAAGGGGAGAAGGCAAGGTCTTCACAAACTACCACAGCTGGTATGGGGATTGAACCTGCATCGTTTACTTTATTCTGCACCACATTCTCATCATCTTGCTTGAACTAACCAACTGAAATCCCTCCCCTCAAAGGTGCACGATGTGCAAATATAAATCATGTGATTTCTACTCATTGATTGATTTATTGTTGTCACATGTACTATGACAAAGTGAAAAGTGTTGTTTTGTGCACTGTACAGGCAGATCATACCGTAAAAAGTGTATCTGGGCAGTGGAACAGAGTGCAGAATATAGTGTTACAGCCGCAGAGAAAGAGATCTGAATTAACATTTGAGAGGCCCATTCACAAGGCTGATAAAGGCAGGGAAGAAGCCATTCTTGAATCTGTTTTTACATGTTTTCAAACTTTTATGTTTTCTGTCCAATGGAAAAGGGTGGAAGACAGTATAACCAGCATGGGAGGGGTCTTTGATTATATTGGTTGTTTTTCCAAGGCAGCAGGAAGTACAGATAAAGTCAATGGAAGGAAGGCTGGTCTACGTGATGGAATGGGCTGTGTTCACGACTCTCTGTAGTTTCTTGCAGTCTTGGGAAGAGCAGTTGCTAAACCAGGCTGTGATGCATCCGGATAGGATGCTTTCTATGGTGCATCTATAAAAATTGCTAAGAGTCCTTGTGGACATACCAAATATCCTTAGCTTCGAGAGGAAGTAGGAGACGTTGTTGTGCTTTCTTGACCATTGCGTCAACATGGGTGGACCAGGACAGAATGTTAATGATCATCACTCCCAGGAACTTGATGTTCTTGACCATCTCCACCTCAGCATCATTGATGCAGCCAGGGCGTACCACTTCCTGGAGTCAATGACCAGCTCCTTCATTTTGCTGACGTTGATGGAGAGATTGTTATTTTTACACCGTGCCGCTAAGCACTCAATTTCTTTCCTGTATTCTGTCTTGTCGTTGTTTGAGATCCAACCTATAACATTGGTGTTGTTAGCAAACTTGTAGATGGGGTTGGGGTGGAATTTGGCCACACAGTCGTGAGTATATAAGGAGCATAGTAGGAGGCTGAATATGCAGCTTTGCAGGGCATCTGTGTTGAGGATTATGTTGCAGGAGGTGTTGTCGCCTATTCTTACAGATTGGCGTCTATGGGTCAGGAAATTGAGGAAACAGTTACAGAGGGGGAAGCTGAGACCTAGATCTCGGAGTTTAAAGATGAGTTTGTTTGGAATTATGGTGTTGAATGTGGAACAGTAGTCAATCAGTGGGATCCTGATGTAGGTATCCTTGTTATCCAGATGTCTCAGGGTTGAGTGTAGGGCCAGGGAGATAGCATCTGCTGTGGACCTGTTGCACCGGTAAGTGAATTCCAAAAGATCAAGGCAATTTATTAGGCTGGAGTTGGTGTGCGCCATGACTAACCTCTCAAAGCACTTCCCAAATATGGAGGGCAAAGCCACAATTCTGAAATGAATTGGGTGTTAAATTCAATATCAATTTCATCTCTGCACAATCACAGGCAGAACAGAAGAATAACATTCAGAATGGTCCTAGGATTGCTAAGATGTTGTGTTTACAAGTACTACTTTAAAACTGGAACCAAAATCTTTCACTTCTTGTGCCAGGGCTGTCAGACAAAGCCATGGCACTCAGGAGTAATAGTGATCTGCAAAGAAAAAAATAATTGTTCATTTCTCCACACCTTGCATTTTGCACTTTCCTCATGATAGCCTTGCAATTTCAATTTCCAGTTGTCTACTCGTATCATTCTGTTTCCTTCTCAGTCTGCATCCCTCTAATCTTTCTTCACTGATCTCCTTCAGCAAGTTCTCATGGCTTAGAACATGGCAAATCCAAACTTGTTGTTTTCTCTTGTTGATCTGCACTAATGATCTTTACTCCTCCACTATCCTGCCAACATCTTTATTGCTCTTGTGTTCTTTCAAACTGATCTACCTCGTTCTTTCTAGAACCACATTTCACAATTTGCCAATCTTGGGGCTATGTTAATTGAGCTTAGAGATGGGCATGGAACAGCTCTTGGTAACCAGGGCTGTTAACTGAACTGTACATATTATATACAGAGCAGGGGTGATTCCTACAGGACTATCATGGAGTAATTCTTTCTATATACTCGACTATGGTGATTTTAGCTATTGTTGTGGTAACTGCTGCATTATGTTGCATTCTCAAGATCCACGTTTCAGTCCCACACAACAGAAACTTCAAATATCAATCTTGATAATCCATTCTTAATCCTCACTCCTAAACTGAGCAATTCTCTATGTTTGAGGAATAAATTCTTTGTTACTACTCTTGCTCTAATTTCTGAATGATTAATCTTTAATGATTTTTATGCATCTTCTGATAAGATATTTGCAAAGTATTTAAATTGTGAAACCTGTTCCAGATATTGACCATTTACTTTGACCTCTGCTTTCCAATCATAATTCCCTCTAATCTTAACTTTGTTTACATTATTTTTCAATAGCCAGTGGAAAAATATCTCCCACTGACGTACCAAGAAAACAAGTTAAATAATACGGGTTGAAATTTGAATGACATTCATTGGCATCACTGACTGTAACATTTAAAACAAAAATGCAATAATTTATTTGCAAGGTTGATCTTTTCCATTTATCTACTCCCTGCAGGAAGCAGCAGTAATGTGAGCAGGTGACATCTGAATTCATTAACCTCAAAACACACAATCTTTAAAAAAAAGCTTGCCAGCTTCATCATTTCCCTCAGCATGTTGCAAAATAATCTTAACCTCATGTAATTTTTCAATTTTCCCTTCATTATAATCTCAGACATGAAGCTGATAATGAATGACAATCAATTAATAAAATGACAGGACTTTTCTCCCTCATGAGAGGATTAAATGACTCTTTTTACTGTATTACCAAGCTGTTGCATACTGAGTTGCCAGTTCTGAGGTATTCATTTTTTCTTTCTCTCTCAGTCCTGCATTAAAATGGTAGTTTAGATTATGTGTTTCAGTTTCTGACTTGGCCCAGGAATTAATCACCTTCCGACTTCGAGGTGAAAATGGGAACAAAGAGGCAAGGCTGACATCTAACGTATAAATTCAAAGCCACCAGTTAAAACTAAAGGTTCCTGCCTTGCATCCAATCACAGAACTTTTTCGCTCTTCTTTCCCTTCCCATGCACTATATTTGCTTAAAATCTGTTCCGTTTGCAACTTTTTTCAGTGATGAGATATCATCAACAGTCTGGTGCAATGAGTGGACCAAGTTCAAAACTGAAAAGCTGATTGTGATTTTGAAAGAAAGAATGAACAGAGACAGAATCGTCCTAAACAGCCGAATAGGGGAGGCGATGGTGGAGTGGTATTATCTGTTAATCCAGAGGCCCACGTAATGTTCTGCGGATGCAGTTTTGAATCCCACCATGGCTGATGGTGGAATGTGAAACTAAGAATCTACCGATGGCCATGAATCCATTGTCAGTTTTGGAAAAACCCATTTGGTTCACTGATGTCCTTCAGGGAAGGAAACTGCCTTCCTTACCTGGTCTGACCTACATGTGACTTTGGACCCACAGCAATGTGTTTGGCTCTTAACTGCCCTCTGGGCAACTAGAGTTGGTTAATTAATGCTGGCCGAGCCAGTCATGCCCTCATGCTGTGAATGAATAAAGAAAAAGTGGTGCAAATAGAGGGAGACATGAAGGTGTTTGTACGCATATCTTTGCAGGTGTTTGAGTGGGTTAACAGAGCAATTAATGAAGCAAATGAGATCCCAGGCTTTACAAATAGAGGCATAAAGTACAACAAACAGCAAATACTAAACCTACACATAACATTAACTCTGCCTTGGATGGAATATGTGTCCAATTTTGGGCACTGCCCTTCAGAAATAAACTAAAAGCTTTGCTGAGAGTATAGGAGATTTCCTAGAATAATGGCAGAAATAAAGGATTACATTATTTTGGAAATGCTGAATGAATGAATAAATATTTCTGTTATGCAACCTTTCCTCCTCTCAAATATCACTTCTTCCGAAGTGAATTTGCAACCTGAACCAATTTATAGCATATATGGGTGAGAGTTGATGCTAAAGGATACGGTGCAAGATAGGTGGGAATAAGTCTTTTCTATTCTGTACAAGCCAACACAAAGAGAGAAGCTTCTTAAGTAAAATTTTTACACATACGGCAAATCTAATATGAAGTTTAGAACACCAAGCATAACCAGCAAAGGTTACTGTACTCACGGATACACTTAGGAACCCTGTCACTCCACTTAGGATTCCCAGACTGCCTGTTGTAACAAGTCAGTATATTACTCCCGGCCAGAGTGTAGCCTTTGTTACAAATGTACTGCACTGTGGAGCCAATTGAAAACTTGGGATCTGCGATAATTTTGCGGCTATGATCGACATCACCGGGATCAGTGCAGAATATGACTAGGATGAGAAACCACAAAAATACATAAAGATAATGTGTATTTAGCTGTGTTATATTGCCACTGACTAAACCCCGCTGCTCAATACTGACTCCTCTATTGATTCTGGCCTGCAATTCTCAAAATGTAGACCTTCTCTAACGGCAGAGTGATTAGCTGTGCAATACAATAATAACTTGCATTTCCACAGCATTTTAACGCAGTAAAACACTTTATTGAAGGATTATCAAACTAACTTGACTAAAAAAGCCAATACTTTAATTGAATTACCTTGCAACCGCCAAAGCAGTGTGAGGAATTCTATAGCTGGTCTCAATGAACACTGAGTTAGCAAAGGAAAAACTGACATGAGCTCATCTTCTGGTCATTAATCAATGGCTCCATTTGGAAGTCAGCAAGCTTGAAGCTAGTTTGGATAAAAGCCCCATTTATTGAACAATTCTCAAATATTCACTGAGCAGGGGCACTTACATCCACAGAGCTATATCCCACAATAAGTCAATACCCTTTGCAAAGTGAGGATGCTGAGGGAGAAATGTGTCTGAGAGAACAACAAATCATCACCTTTAATAATTCAAATACGGCAAACAAATAAAAGAGTTGCATTCGGTATTAAAAAAATCCCTTTATAGTTTAAATTAAAAAATTCCATTGCTGTTGCTAATGTGTTTTTCTTTAAAAGTGAACTAAAATTTTATTGCTGGGCTTGTTCAAATATCCTTTAAAGTTAAGCACAAAATGTTATAGATTTTATGATTCATAAATTCTTAAATCTAAAAAGCAACAAATCGAGCGATGGTGCAGTGAGGTTTTTTTCCCCACAGTGTAGTCTCAGTTTCATTCCACTGAAGGGAAAGGCTAAAAGATACAATTGTGGGATGTTCTTAATCGGTTTTGGAGATATAAACAGGTTGAGAAACAAAACGAACATCATCTACTATGTACTGTCAAAATTGCCTTTGTCAGAAATTGATTTTACCTGCAACCCATTTGTGTACTGTGCAGAGATAGTAGGAGCTGCAGATGCTGGAGAATCTGAGGATAACAAGGTGTAGAGCTGGATGAACACAGCAGGCCAAGCAGCATCAGAGGAGCAGGAAGGCTGACGTTTCGGGCTTAGACCCTTCTTCAGAAA